AGTGCCGAGTTTTCAAGGCTCTACTGTAATGCTATATTAAAACATTTTCAATAAAATGTGTAGCTTCATTATAAATATAAGCAGACTTTAATATTATAATTATATTATTTTATAAATTAATAATAATAATATTATTATTAGTTAAGTCATTAATATTTAATATTACATAGAAATTAGTTTCTGCTAAATTATAACTATTAAATTATTTATTAAAATAGAACGCCATCAAAAGAAATTTATAAATTCTCATGATTCAGTTACTTGTTTGGAATTAATTAAAAATTCAGAATTTACTGGATTAATTGTTGGAACTTACTCTGGAAAACTAATGGTAAGTTATAGGGTTTTTTTTTTTTAATTTGGCTTAAAATTTACATAGTTCTTGCTTTATTAGAACAAGTTTTTAATCTTCTAAAAATAAGTAGAAATACTCAAAAACATTTGAGAGATAAAATGGTCTACATTCATAAAATGTCAGATTCAAATAATAAAGCAAGTTACGAAATAGTTGGATTAATGATTTTGTTATCAATATTTTATATTTGTTGTTTTAAATTTTGAATTCATAAATGTAATAGCAGCAATAATTGTTTGTAAAGTAGAAAATCAAACACTTTTGTTATAAAATGTATGTGAGATTCTGGAGATTGATTTATCATAATAAAATTTATACTCTATTTTATCAATCAATCTAGATATCCCCTTTGTGAATTAGACACAAAAAATCTTTTTCCTTCAAATATAAAACTACTGTTAATATAAATCAAAGGCATATAAATTAAAGTAATTTTTCCCGTCAAAAAAGGTGCTACTTTTGTCACTTTTGTGATGTAAAGAGAAATCAAAATTCCTTTTACAAGAGATTATCACAAATTTTAATAAACATCTGGCTGTTTGACTCATCTGTATGTCCCATCAGATGATACAAATTCCAAATTTTGATTGGAGGGGATTTGTGTATACAAAGAGCAATTTCCCACCATTTGAGGCCATTTTTGCTCCAGTCTTTGACAGTCCTTTGCCAGGCCGATCTTTTACCTGGTCTGATTCAAGCCACTCTTCTTCTACTGCTTCCCAAATCTCCACTAACATCGTCGCTTACCCGAACTGTCATCCGACAAAAGAGCAACAACTATTAATTGAGGTAGTATGTTTATAATGATGTAAACTCTTTCTCTCTCTCTCTCTCACCTTGTAAAGTACTGTATTATTTTTCTGCCTTTTCCAATGATTATTGACACGATTGTGTGCCGGAAATAGCCGTTACCTAATGGTACTTTACAAGGATTCGCGTTAATGTGCCAGGCCTGAACTTTAAGCGTACACCGAATTAAATAATGACAAAGTTAGTCAAAAACAATCCAACATTTAATAAAAATTTGGTACTTACGGGTTAAGAGGACACCGGTTGGAAATAGCGATCAAAGTCGCAATTTTGAACAAAAATATCAAAATAACAATAGACTAGTAAATTTAAATCTAAAAAGAAGAAAATTTACTGATAAGGTTGTAAAAATGAAAAAAAATCAATTAGGATGATAGATATCGCCTATTTACCATATACATTACAAAACAATTTGCATATTCAAGTGGTTTATTATTACAGTTTGTGAAATTTTGTTATATCTTTATAAATTGTAATTTATTGTTTGATTTAACAATTTTATTAAATTTGACAAATAAAAAATTGCATTATTCGGAAAAACGCTATTTCCAACTGGCGTCCTCTTAACCCATAAGTACCAAAAATTCTAGTAATAACTATACACAAAATGTAGTAAAAATCAAATAACAATTTATTCAACGTAAATCAATAAGAATCAACCCGACAAAACTCAAATGAATCTATTTTCTATCTTAACTCTATTCCCCTTTGGAATTTGACAAAAAAGATTCAGAGACTTAACTTATGTACAATAATTCTTATGAATTAAAGGTCCTAATCATCACCTCAATATTAGGAACCTTTTTCCTCCACTCTCAAGACTTTCTCTAATCTTCGATCCACAAATCAAATAACTTCAAAATCGCCTTGGAACTACTTTATCCTATCGGACACCTCTCTCTTGTTTGCTGCTACGAAGCTCACCACACTCGTTGCTAACAGAAGCTCACCTCGGTCATCTTCACTTGAGGTTTGGTCTTTATACTGTGAGGTGACGTCACAATTCTGAGTGAGATCATTCCCCTCATTTACATACTTATTGCTAACAATAAACTTTTCCTGTTTGCCTGGCAGCCTATTTTCTGACAATACTCGCTAACCTTTTACATTATTCTTTTTGACAATTTTCGGGATGTTTTATTCTTTAAGGTTTAGTGAATTTAAGTTGTGCTTGTGGGGTCTTCTCCCCCCCTTTTCTTGGTGCGGGCTTACTTTTTTCCACTCGGGAGCACAAGTGTGCGTTAGTTTTATCTATGGTGCTTTTCTCTTGTCGATGAGTTGGTTTCTCTTCTATTTTTAAGTTTCTAAGGTGAATGGTGAGGAAACCTTCTGAATATTTTTCACTGGTGGAAAAGTTCAAATGTTACTCTAATTCTCAAAACAGAAAAATTCATTGGAAAGGACATCACTGCTGATGCACTATTTATTTCTCTTTCCACTTTTTGCCAGGAATTCTCTCATTGCTTGAAATAAACTTAAAATTAAGATGCTAAAATTGTTTTTATTTAATTTTTTAGTTTATTTTGATATTTATTATTATTATATTATTATTTGATAAATGAAACAGAAATGTAGTAATGTGATGATAAAATCTTGTCCTTTGACAGTCAACATGTTTAAAAAGTGTGCTTTACAGTAAATATTTGACGGATTGTAATGGTAAAGTATTCAACAGGATGCTGAGATTCTGGTTTGTTCATCCAGTTACTGTTTAGAAGACATTACATGAAAAGTTATATTAGATAACCATCCCAAGTTATAATGATGAAATTATAGAGCTGGACTACTGTGCTGGAACGTAACTAATTAATTATACGGATATCATGAAATTAACTGTCCACAAAAAACCTTTATCAGTGTTGTGTTTGTTACAATATCCACTAATGTTTTCAACCTCCATCGAGGTCTTCTTCAGGTGCTGACTAAGCGTTGTCTCCCCCTTGAATGTTAGAACGATGTCGTCCAACTTGTAAATATTGTGCATATCATGTTTTACCCTCCACTTATCCCCATTCGAATTCCTTGAATAAGTATCTCCACACCTGCGCGATCATCTCTTCGTCTTTAAAGTTGATACAGGTGCCCCCAACATTGGCTTTATAGATCTCCCAGGCCTCCAGGTGATGGATGTGATCAATTTAAAATGCCTGTCTGAATAATTTGGTGTTCAAGAAGTTTGCCCGAATTTCAGGGTCGCTAACGTATGCTGTCAAGGCGGTGGTGTGCCTGTTATTTTTAATTAATGTCCGATTGATGCTCGCGTAACCGTTTTTGTGTTGAGTGCATGGTAGAACCGATATAAACTAAGTTTCTTTGGAAGCTATCATTCCTGATAGGAATGGAGTATACCTCTGGGGCTCTGTTGAGATCTATCACATCTTTAGCATGGTACCAGTCCTCCTATACATGATCTTTGTGTGATTATGACTAGCAACTAGCAATCTCCCTGTATAGGTGGTCCAAATGTTGGTTGAACCAGACGACTGCACACCTATCGTTCTTAACAGGCCGCTGTCCAGCGTAGTCAGGAACGATAGGCGTGCAATCATCCAGTTCAACCAACATTTGGATTCCCTATACAAGGAGATTGCTAGCCATAATCACACAAACATCACATACAGGAGGACCGGCACCATTTACGACCTGCTGCGCAAAGCTAAAGACACAATAGATCTCAACAGAGCCCCAGAGGTATACTCCATTCCCATCAGGGACGATAGATTTCAAAGAAACTTAGTTTATATCGGTTCTACCACGCGCTCAACACAAAAATGGTTACGCAAGCATCAATCGGACATTAATTAAAAATAACAGGCACACCACCGCCTTGACAGCATACGTTAGCGACCCTGAAATTCGGGAGAACTTCCTGAACACCAAATTATTCAGACAGGCATTTCAAATTGATCACATCCATCACCTGGAGGCCTGGGAGATCTATAAAGACAGTGTTGGGGGCACCTGTACACTTTAAAGACGGAGAGACGATCGCGCAGGCGTGGAGATACCTATTTGAGGAATTCGAATGGGGACAAGTGGAGGGTAAAACATGATATGTGCAATATTTACAACTCAGACAACATCGTTCTAACGGTCAAAGGGAGACAACGCTTAGTGTCAGCCACCGGGGAGGTCGGGAAGTCCTCTCCTTCAGGCCACAGGTCGGTGACCTACTTTTCTTGTCAGGGATGGTAGTAATGTTTGGTTACTCGTTACGCGAGTGGAGGAGAGTCAGAGGGGTCGACGATAAGGCGTGAGCATAGTCGAGTAACGACACCATTTAAAAATAAACAACGGTTTATTTAATGCACTAACTAAATAAAATTTTACAAAACTCCGCGGATGAGAGAGGGAGTTTACAATAATATTTCATACCTCTGTGATAGTATCGGATGGATACTTCGGCTTTAATTTCTGAAAGGTGGTGCGAGTTGGGGCACAAGGTCTTCTAATTAATGGCGTACAGTAGGTCAACGGGAAGTGAAGGTCCGTCTTGGTCGTTCGATGGTTGACTCTCCCGAGAGGGGAAGGAGGATGGCTTTTATACATTTTGGTGGGAAAATTCATTAGGTGACCAATTGTTTTCGCAGGTGTGGGGTTAAAGTTGGTGTTAGAATGACAACAATATGACGAATTTTGTCGATACTTGTAAACTATTCATGGATTGATCGTGAGAATGTTTATAGTTAAATAGAAAGAGTTATAATTTTCTCATGCACCTCAAATTTCGTTTCTGCAGGTGCAACTTCTAGTTAAAGGAATTTATTAAAAATTTAAAGGATTAAATACTTTTATTACCTTATATAAATCTCGAATTTCACACTTATTAAGCACCTGAAGAAGACCTTGGTGGAGGTTGAAAACGTTAGTGGATATTGTAACAAACACAACACTGATAAAGGTTTTTTGTGGACAGTTATTACTCAACACAGTGTTACAGTTAGAAGATATTTTGTATCATGAAATTTTGATGAAAAGCAAGTAGTTGTATGAATTTTTGTCCTAGGCTTCCTTGTAATGAATTGATTACTTGCCATGGGCTGTCAAGAGCTTTTATGGAGTTCAGTGGATAAAGCAGACCCCTTTTGTTTCTTCATGGCCTCTTTAGCTATTTTTCTTTTGAACAAATGAAAAACATAAAATGTCTCTTTATTAATTAATGAAAT